CTGGCCCAGTTACGAAATAGCCTGAGTTAAATTGCCATATCAGTTCTATGAATTTTACTTTTCAAGTTTTCTGCTAGAGTTTCAAACACAGCGCCACGCAGATTCATTAAAAGCGAGAAAACTAATTTACTCAACAAAATAAAGATATTTACATCACGAAATGTTTTGTATTTTCCTAAGTAAATAATCTCATCCGTTAAAACATTCCCTAGTGTGTGTAAACATTAAAAAACCGCGAAAAAGAAAAAAAAATAAAATGACTTGGTGACGAACATGTCTTTAGCCCCTTTCTTTAGGGTGAGAGTTAGGGATAATGTTTTCATTCAACCTTGTTGCATTAGTTCCTGTCTGCGAATCGTTCATGGAGGCACGGTATTCTGTTTTTATATCGTCTGGTAACAATGGCAAACCTCTCTGCTCTTTTAAAGCCTCACCTTAACATGGAGTAACAGGAGCCCACTAAACCAGCAGCGAGCAAGTTCCATTCGCTAGTGTCACGGCATTTTCACGGACTAGTTTATTTTTAGAACGGTTTTGGCGCGAATTTTGAATATCTTTTAAATTCCACAAACCAGTCAGCAAAACTTTCAGACCTAAGAATGATATTAATGTTTAGGTTTCCTATTTGATATCTTATATTGCGAATGTACTCATAGACATGGTGAAGCTTCTATTTTCGCGGCGGAAGCCGTGACCTAAAAGCTCTAAAATGTGTCTAAAAATAAACTGGTCCGTAAAAGCGCCGTGACTCCCATGACATAGGCCTGGTATTGGAGTTACTCGCTCCGAATTATGGGCTCGTGCAAGTACTCTCATTTCTGTGTACATGTATTACTCTTACCGTCTCTCCTGCCTTACCTTCAGAGTTCTCAACAGCTTACTCATACGGCCACACCCAGATCGAACGATAATCATTGACACCTGACAAGTAGAATTACAGGCACCCCAAGCTCACGAGTAAGCGGAATCGTTGTTGGATAACAAAAATATTACTGTATAAGGCTTTGTATGGGGTAACCTGCAAACGCATACGTATTTCCGGTCGTCGCTTCTCTCCACTGAAAAGTAACGTCTGCGAACCCGGAGCAGCCAAACGATTTCCGTGACGTTATTACGTCAACTTTCGCAGGCTAAGTATGGGAATTTTTGCGATCATTGTTTAGGGCATAAAAGTATCAATAATAACATATACATAATAACATCTTTACCTGTCCAATCGTTGTGTTCTTAACTTAACCGACAACGACGACGTCCATCAAAACATCGTTAAAAAATAGACTTCTCATCCTTTAACCAAGTTTTCGCGATTACCGTATACCAAGTCGCCCTGATACTGAAAAGAAGGGAATTTATGTTGGAGCTGAAGAGAGGGGACGGCGCCTCACCCGGACGGAGATGCTATAGAATCTATAGCCTTGCGCCCTTGCCGTTCCCGTTCTACACTGGGTACCGGAGTTTTTTTTCTCGTTTGCGTCGGGGAGCTTCGTTTCATCGGCCGAAGGCCGAAGACACGAGCGGCGAAGTTCTTCGCGCGGGTCACTTTTTTAGGACTTGACCGAAACCGGAAACCGCGCATGAACAGCCTCTGGCACTTGCCGTTCTCAAGTGAACGTAAAATTTGGCCATTTCACGTCGTATTTGTGCAGGGATGGCAAAGAAATGAACAAAAGAGCGTGATGCATGTGCAAAGTTGTTGTTTTGCTCATTAAACCTATTGCTTAATTTTTTTATGTTCCCGTTGCCGTCGCCGTCGTGGTTCGTAAGGTCCCTTATGGCGAGGAAACTGACACTAGCAACCCTCGCGTTGAACTCTGGTCCTACA